TGGATAGCCCTAAGATGATTCTTCCGAGAACAAATAGTACCTTCTTGTTAAAAGCAAAGAAGAGGCTGGCTTGACAGGGAACAGACTGTTCTTTTTATCCCTCTAATACATTTATTCCCTTATGTTGAGTATTTGTTAGAAACTATGTCACTTCCACAGAGAATTCTGCTGTACTCAAACATTCCAGTGAAGCCCAACTTAAATTTCAGAAGTTGATAAATTAAATGGAAGAGAAGGGGAAAAAAATATGCATCTGGTGATTCAAAATGCTAAAATCCTTCACACTAAAAGACAGCAGCAACTAGAAATCCAGAAACACACTGATCAACCTGTTATCTCACATACTTTATGGAAATAGGTGTGTTCATGTTTTGCATGCCTATCTTTTCATATGCATCTGAAATGTATGTAACTTGAGAGCCTGCCTTGCAGTCTTAACTATCCTCCCATAAACTTAATCAACAACAACAAAAAAATAGGTGTTTCTTAATTCATAAAAAACATTTTCTTAGGAAGAAGGCAAATGGGGATTATTTTATCAGTCAATAGAAAAGGAAAACTGTTTTAACATAGGAATGTGCCACTATGTATAAAAGCTATTTTAAATATTTTTGCAGGAGGATCAGAAGTCTAAATGTTTGCTCTGTACTGAATCACTATGCAACTCTGTGCAGAACAAATAGATGGAGGAAAGAAAGTAAAGATAAAAATCACTTAAGCAAAGTAACACTTCAACCTCTGTAGTATTCAAGAAGTTGGAATGTCCCAAATTAAATTTAGGACAAAGACAGACTTAGATGCACCCTTACTTCAAAGGGCTGCCTCAGAAGACAGCAGAAGCACAGCAGGAGCACATACACATTGAAGAGACATGTAAATCCACCAGGGGCTCACTCACTGAGCCAGGGGGAGTCTTCTGCAACCTTCAGGGGAAATTCCTTCTAGTGACAACAAGGCCTTCTAAGCTGTTTTTTTACTTAAAAGGATTTAAACAAAACAAGCATTTTACACCTCAGTTTCCACCTCACATAAAATGGAGAGGAAATCTGGCTCACCAATAAAAAAAATGAAGTTCAAGTCTCAGTTGTAAGAAAAACAATTTTACATGTTTGAGGTAATGAAACATGCATAAATAAAGTGTAGCTACCTAGCTTAAGGCAACAGAAGTTTTACTCCAGCCCACACCTGGATATTTGATAATATATGCAAATACAAGGTTAACATATACCATGAGCAATTCAGTAACAACACAACCCTGAAACTGAAATTAGTATTAAAACATGTAGAGGCATTCTTCAGCCAAAACTCAAAAATAGGTGCTACAAATCTATAAAACACAAATTGATGTTGATTCCTAATAAATGTACAATCTTAGCCTGTATGAAAATACAGCTTGCAGAAAACTGGCACAAGACAATATTTAACCTTGGCCTACAACCAAGCATTGCTTCATCAGTACAAATTAAGAACATATCATACAGGGGTAGGTACAAGCTTTACACAAATTTGTGAAGAAGTAACGCATTTCTGAGAGATACACGTGTACTTTCTTGCTCATTGTGAACACCTGCAGAACGACTGCCACACCGAGAATAAAAACATAAATACACTTTTTAGAAGTTACAAAAACATTCAGAGAAAAAGAAAACTATTATTGAAGTACAACACTATGCACAGTTACTGTGAAAATCTATCATGAAAAAACTGGGGCACTTACAGGAAACAATACAAACCAACCTGCTCTATCATTGTATGAAAAAAGTGCTTGAATGAAACATGCCTAAAGCATAATTTCTAGATCACTAGCTACAACTCAGATCCAATCCTGATGCATATTGACTATAAATCTGAAATACCACTACTACAGCTGTTAAATCATCTGTCTTTTAGTAGTATTTTTCTTCTTCTATGTCTTCTGTGTGCAATACTTCCTAAAAAGACGTGCCACCACAGTTAAACTTTCAGGTAAAGAGAACTAGTGGCATTTAGATTGTGTTTTCTTTTCCTTTCTTTTCTTTTACCAGTTGCAAACATCCTAATAAGACTAACAGTGAAATGTGTCTCGTTTCAGAGGCTGATCATTTAACATATACTTGAGTGCTCTTTATAGTTTTACCCTTCGCAAAACATCCTCTTATAAACAGGCATTGTGTTACAGCATTACTAATGATAAAATGTCCAACTTCATAAATATGCGAACCTCACCAGCAAAGCCATAAATCAAACAACAAAGGATTGGGCATGTACAGGAAGGGGTTTTTTATTAAACCATAGTAATAAATCTGCAAGCATAATATATTGTTTTGAACTGCAATGGTACTGACTTTTCTATCAGAATTGTATATCAACACCTATTTAATCTTGGGGACACCATCTGAGGATGGAAACTTCACATCTGCTGCATATTTGTTGCAGTCCGAGTTCAACCTGGGCTAGAAAAACGAGCTGAATTACGGATCACCCCTTCTCTTCTCCTCGATTAGAGGAGGAAAAGCCCCAAATGGGCTGGTTTTACTTTCCCAGGGGGTCTGTCCCTAGCTTTGGACCAGCTGGCTACACTGGCTGTGTCTCTAGGACACAAATTCCGCCTAGATGTATGTGCACCAGCACAAACACAGAGACCATGAGTTTTAAATACCACTTTACTGTAACAGCTTTTTAACAAGTGTGCATGTGGGAACTGTATATGCAAACGTGCACGGTCGGTAAAGAGAAAGAAAGGCCATGTTTGGGGGTAGAGAGAGCCTGAAGCCTTTACCGTATAGGGCTGACGAGGTGTGTGTGTGCGTGTCTGATCACTTCTGCCTGGGGAAGAGAAGGCAGAAAAAGAAAGATTTCTTGGTTTGCAAGTCTTACAGTTCCCAGCTCAGAAACACTCATAGGAGTAACGGGACTGGCAGCGCCGGCCGTGGGGGCTTCGGGGCTGCTCGGGGACAGCAAGGACAGGGCTGGGGCTTGGCTGGGCCTCAGGAGCACGGCTGCAGTGGCTGCTTTGGGAGCGCTTGGTGAGGAGGCTTCGGGGAGTGAGCGGTGATTCCAGCTTCTTTAGTGTGCTCCAGGTCCTTCTTCTGTTTCTTCGGCTCCGTTTGTGTAGCTCCTTGGCGAGCAGGCTCCGCGAGAAAAAACAGGAACAAGCTCCTTCCCCAGCCACAGAAGGCTCCTTGTTATCTGGCCTCCTATTCCTCCTTCTATCTTCTCTCTCCTTGGCTCCAGCAGCAGCGGAGGAGAGGCGGCAACGACCCATCACAGCCCTCAACTGGATCAGTTGATCAGTTGGATCAGTCTGCTCAGCTCCCAGCCCCGAGGTGGGTTCCTGCAAGAGCTGGTCCTGGCTGCAAACACAGCAAGGTGGGGCTGGCTGTCCCAGTCCTTCACTGTTTGAGCCCCCGCACCCCACAGTGCTGACACCGTTATTTTTTGTGTTGTGTTTTGGTTTTGTTGGTTTGGGATTTTTTGTTTTGTTTGTTTGTTGTTTTTGTTTTTCTTTTTCCTTTGTTTAAGTCTATCCCAGTCAATTTGGTTGAGAGACATGTATTTTGTGGAGGCCTGTTCTCCACAATATTACATGCTAATTTTGATCTGTTTGGAGGAAAAGGTAGAGATGGTGGGCATCTGCTCTTCTGGGAAGAGTTACTACCACATATGCTGACTTACTGGGTAAAATACAGAAGCTTAGGTAGGATATAAAGGACTCTCCATCTGGTAACAGGAGAGAGCATCTCTACAGTTCACCGACAAACTCATTTTAAAAGTTAGAATAAAATTAAACTCAATAGAAAAGCCTTTCACATCAGGTCCTAAATGAACAAACAGTTTCTCAGAAATAACACAGTGGAAGCCTTCCAAATTCAAGAAGATGGTTTAAGGAAAATATTTCACTTGGGTTTTGCCACAAAGCCTAATCACAAAGATCTCTTGTTAGCAGGTAGACACAGTTCTACAACAAAATTAATAGACTTTGAAATATTCTAGAAGAGGAATTTGCAGCTTAGTGCCACCCTGCCTTACAGCTTTCCTAGCTACAGCTCCTTCATGAAAAGCCACAGTCTAAAGGAGATAAAATATAACCCAGTAACAAACCAAAACCAATTACAATACACCTGTAGAAAACAAACAAAACACAAAACCAAAACAAACCAACAAACAAAACAAACACACAAAAAACCAACACCACCTTTCCTGGAGTGAAGCAGCCAAGTGGGAAAGTAAAAGGAGGAAGAGCCAGCATAGACTCTGACTAAGGGTGATGAATGGATGTATCAAAAAAGCTCATTTTGCTAACATAATGATTCAGTTTAAATAATTGGGAGTTTTCCTCCTCTGACTTCTGTCAGAGCAAAGTACCTCTATTGAGTGCATTTGAAATCTCTGACTCTTGTAAGGTAATATTTTGTTCTGCATACAAGTACCCCCATGGAATTCTGCAGAGAAGGATACATTACAGTTGTGGAAAAATAAATCACAGCCTCCAAAAAAGCTAGATAAAACCAACATTTTCCTTTGAGCAGAACACATTTTTTAATATACCAAAGTAAAGATAAGCACTGCAGTTTAAAAAACTTACTTAGCAAAATGCCTCCACTTAATTTTAAAGATAATTTCAGTAAGTCCAAAACAAAATGGTGACAACAATTCAAAGCATACCACACAAAGGTGTGTTTTCAACTTCCATACAGATTGAACAAATTAAGAAAGAATCTGAGCCTTTGATAAATCAGTTTAAAGTTGTTCATATTTCACAAACAGGTTTCCAGTTTTGCTTTTATAATTTATGGATCATTAACCTTGAAACATGCAAGTGTACAAGATTAATCACATGCATTCAGATATTCATTCATGTCTCTGTCCATATGGTACAAAGTTAGCGACATTGCTCAATAACCCCAAGATTTACTAAGGAAATACCTGTTACTAGCTTCATCTCTTCAACAGGAATTGTTTTCACTCCATCAAGGAACTCCTCATAACTTCAACAGGAATTTGGAGCTCAAATTACTTACCTGTGAACATAATGCAACTGATGAACTGAATCAATAGCTATCACCATCTCAGCCAAATAAAAACGAGCCATATCTTCAGGTAGTCGGTCTTCAAACTTGCTGAGCAATGTAAGCAGGTCTCCTCCAACATAGTAATCCATAACCAGGTACTAGGGAGAAGGAATGATAAGAAAACACAGGGGAGGCAGGGAGAAACAAAACTTCTATTGAGTGAATCAAGAGACTGAAAACTATTTTAAGCATAAAAATTAGCTTATTTCAAAAATTGTTATGGGCATTAAAACAGCTAACCAAGATCCTTATAAGTTCTGTAAAAAGTAGATGGTTCAGCCTCGTTTTATTATTTAACCTACTTCAGTATGTTTCGTATTTATAATTCTCCAAATACAGTAAGCTTTACAACAAAATATTATCAGTTTCATCCATATTTCATCAACAAATGCAAAATATTTATATACTCTGGGTTCCCTTATCAAAACAAAACCCCTTTAAGGGGCATGGCAATAAATCTAATGACCTAAGATTTTAACAATTTGATATAGAATAATCTGGGCATCCTAATTGATTCCAAGTGCATGAAGAAAGTATGAAATCGGTTTCTCAAAATTCTAAATGTGCTGACAATCAAAATTTCATTTGTTGCTTTGATGACAGGGCCATGAAAATGATCAGAGAGCTGGAGCACCTCTCTTATGAAGACAGGCTGAGGGAGTTTGGTTTCTTCACCGAGAAGAGAAGACTCTGGGGGGGCCTTATAGCGACCTTCCAATACCTGAAAGGGGCCTATAAGAAAGCTGGGGAAGAACTGCTCACTAGGGTATGTAACAATAGGACACGGGGTAATTATTTTAAGCTAGAAAAGGGTAGATTTAGGTTAGACATTAGGAAAACGTTATTTAATATGAGGGCAGTGGATCACTGGAACAGGCTGCCTAGAGAGGTGGTAGAGGCCCCATCCCTGAGATACTCAAGGTGATGCTTGATGGCGTTCTGGGCAATCTGGTCTAGTTGGAGATGTCCCTGCTTATTGCAGACAGATTCAACTAGATGACCTTTAGAGGCCCCTTCCAACCCAATACATTCTATGATTCTATTACATGAATAGTAAACTTCTTAAATTATGCTCACAAGATAAACATAATCTATTCAGTGGTTCTCCTATGCTCTCTCTGAAACAAGAACTACACTATCAGCTTCTCATGTTTCACAGTTTTAAAAAATACACTAAGCCTTTGGAACTTAATATGATTATTAACTGATACACTATGTAGTGATATCTGCAAGAGCTTAACTTACTATTTTGAAAATATATTGAAAAAGCCTCTTAAGATTCTCATAACTCATTCTTCAGCATTTTTAAAAGCGGTATAATGCCGTAATTTGATATACAAAAATAAGGGAATTTTGACTTTTACAACACAGGGTTCTGCACCTCCCATTTTCCAAGAGCAACATGGTAGCCTAACCACAAGAATGTCCTCAACTCCTCAAAGATGCCAATATTTAAACTGTAACACACAGTATTAAATTGTGCACTTGAAGATAAACACATGCATAGGAATCAAAGGTAAGTTTAACAACTAATTTTTTAATAGAACAGCTCAGTCAATGCACAGCATCCCACTCAACATCAAAGATGAAGGTTCTTAAATTTTATTAAAAAAAAAAAAAAGCTTTTATAGTAGTTTCTAAAAGCACACAATTATCCAGGCCTCTTCAGGTGTCAATTACTTCTTAGAATACTACTGTACAACAGCATCCTACTTCCAATAGAAAAAAAGAGTACAGGTTTAAGGACATAAAATTCTAGTAACTAGTGGAAGTTTAACAGGTACATTTAATCCTAAATCACAGAATCTTTTACATTGGAACAGACCTTTTGAAATCATCTACTCTAACCTCATCTGCTCAAGCAGGGTCAGCTAGTGTAGGCTGTCAAGTACCCTGTTCAATGGGGTTTTAAGTACTCCACAATCTCTTTAGACAATCTGTTCCAGTGTGACTATCCTCACAGTAAAGAAGAATTTTCTTGTGTTTAAAACAAAATGTCATGCATTTCAGTTTACATTCAAGCTCTCTCAGCCTCTCCTCATAGGAAAGATGCTCTAGTACCTTAATCACCTTTCTGGCCTTGCACTGAACTTGCTCCAGTAGCTCCATATGTTTTGCACCGGAATGGCCAGAACTGGACACAATACTTCAGGTGCAGCCATGCCACAGCTGAGCAGAGAGGGAAGGGCCTCCCACTCACCTGCTGGCAACACATTTCCTAAGGCAGCCCAGGATACTCTTGGCCGTTTTTTGCTGTGAGAGTGCATTGCTGGTTGATTGTGAGCTTGTTATTCACCAGCATCTCAAGCTTGCAGTCCCCACCATGTATGTACTGGTGCCTGGAGTTATTCCTCCTCAGATGCAGAACATTGCATTTCACTTGGAACTTCATGAGATTTCCCTCTGCTCAGTTCTCAAGCCTGTCAAGGTCCATTTGAATGACAGCACAGACATCTGTCACATCAGCCACTTCACCCAGTTTTTATCATCTGCAAACTTGACAAGGGTGAACTCCATCCCATTTTCCAAGTCATAAATGAAGATGCTGGCTCCACTTTGAAGCCCCAAGATACACCACTACTTACTGGCCTCTAGCTGGACTTTGTGTCACTGATCATGACCATCTGGGCTCAGTAGTGCAGGCAGTTTGCAATACACCTTACTGTTGCTTATTTACTGCATACTTTTTCAGCTTGGCTATAATGATGTTATGCCAGACAATGTCAAAAGCAGTATTAAAGGTGAACAACATCCACTTCTCAACCACATCTACTACTCAACCTACACAATCGTTTTTTGAAAGGCCACTTCTGTTGTATTTTATTTTAATAAAAAGCACATAGAGAACTAGTGATACATTCACACTAGAAGGATTAAAAACAGTATTACTGCTATTTTACCCAGCAGGTTGCAAAACTAGCTCCTGTTAGCAGACTATCAAAGATAAAGAATAGAAGTTGCTTTGTGCTCAGTGAAAATGAGGGAACTAGCAAGATTAAACAAATTTTAGTAGGCTGTTGTAGAATATGTAATATTTTCTTCAAAAAGTTAATAGCAAGATCAGAATTACATAAAACATGAGATTATAGATTATTTTCACTGTCCACATTAATAATGTATGAAGCTGGAGTTATGTATGTATGAAGTTGGGAGTTATTTAAGGCAAATGTTTTATTGAAAAATGGGAAGCCTTGTTTCTGTATGAATTCCATCAAAATCCAAGGATCTCCAATTATGTGAGCTGAGAAAACAGAAAGCAATATAATGGCAAATGGCATAGCAATTCTGCAAGAATTCCATGTACAGCACTTCTTCTATTGGACACACTGAGAGGAAAAAAAGATTATGTTGGCATAGTAGATTTTTAAGAAAACACTAGAACTTACTAGTTATACAGAATTGAAAAGCCCAGGGCAATAAATCCACATAAGCAGAATCTATCAATGGGTAGTTGTTTATCTTTCCAGGCATAGATATTACCAAAATTGTATCATAATCAAAACATATTTCAAGATTTCACAGAAAAATGGCACTTTTTTCTCATGTTAGCTTTTTTTCGCAAGTCTTTCAAAGTACTTGAAAACTAAAGAATATATCGAAGAGATAACTTTAATCTGGAGTTACAGCTTTCAATTCTTATTTAATAACATTTAGTGGTGTGGTATTCTTCCATGGTGCAAGAACTTTTTTTTTTTCATTTGCTAGTGGGTTTAAGTCCTCAAAAAAATCCAAGGTCAATCAAAATTAACTATTGTTTCTAAATGGAGCTACTTCTTATTCCTAACTGTAAAACAACAACAAAAAAATCAAATGGAAAGTTTATGTTAGTGGGCACATTTTTATTTGTATGAACCCAATTAAACCGGAGTGACAAATTATAAGAAAGAAGATGCAGATAGATTAAGGTTTGTCAAGTGGCTTAGAAAAAAACCCTGCATTCCTAAGGTATTTATAGCAAAATGTAGAAAGTTTCTGACCATTCTCCATCCTTTAGAATCTTATGCACAAAATCACACAAGATGATATTATATGTATAGTCCAGAACACAAATTCAACATATAAACAAATTGTATTTCCTCTCAAATCACAAATAAGATATATATAAAAGCAACACTCACTAAATAGTTTTCATCCTGGAATGCATAATGTAATGTTGTGATCCACTGGTTATCTCCATTCACTAACACATCTCTCTCTTCTCGAAAACAGGCTGTCTGAAGGGAGAAAAAGAATTACAGGCTGCAAATAAAATATGTAAAGAAACACATTTTGCAAGTTGACTGTGTTTTAACATTGTATTTTGGGGAAAAAGTTCAAAACTGCTTCTCAGTTAAGAAAACATTTACTACACTCTCCCTAAAATGCCAAAAATCTATGAAAAACTAGATATCAGAAAAGTCCATCTTCTTCATATTTTTATAGTTGTAATTCTTTATATTGTTAAGTGATGCAAAGGGAGAAGTAAGATGCTGCTTCCCATTGTCTAAAAATCCCATGGCAAAAGCTTGTGCTTTTTGTAAATACAGATATTTAAATCATATCAACAATGAAAAATATAAGACTGAAGAAAACAATAAATACTGGCATACAATTATAACTGCAACAGGACTTAAGGAACTAGAATCTCTTGTCTTTTTTTATGTCATCATGCTATTAGCCTAGTTTTACATTTTAATTTTCACATAAGCAAAGTCCTTCCCTTAATTTGAATGTAGCTGCCAATAACTTCCACAGAGTTATAATTTGATAACCATTAACCAGTTGAGGTTTTCTCAACACTTTTTAGTCAGGAAAAGTAAGGCAGAATTGCATATTGTTCTTGCCAGATATAAGTTGTTGGTAAGACATCCAGAAGGAACTCCCCTCAATATACTGGAAAGAAACACAGGAGTCAAAGGTGCCTTCATAGCAAGTGGAATAGAGGAGTAACAAGAACTGCCAAGAAATGCTAAGGAATATCTAAGAGAAGAAGCAGAACATGGGTTCATATGAAACCAAAGATAATATGTGAAGAAAACAACCAACTGGAAAGCAGCAAGGCAGTTATTTCAATGGAGATCTTGCAAACTGCCCTGAGAAGTGAATAAAATAACTCAGCAAAAGCAGTTTTGTGAAATGATAGAGAAAAATGACCAAAAAGATAAGAAGCCAAAAAGAAAGTATAGCAAGGAAATATGATAAATGTTTTGATGGGATTGAGTTCTGAAGTAAATACTGCAATAAAAGAAAAAGGTACCAAATAGCAAAGCTAACACACAATTTTGTTGTGAAAAACATCTAAAAATAGTGTAAAGAAAGGATAATCATTGTATGGGCTCTATTTAGAAGACAGATGGGAGAATTAGAGAAAAACATAGACCATCCTCTCTTCTGGCACACTCCACTACTTTGTAAATACGTTTCATCTATTTGAACCATGCTCTGTCTCATTCATCTTAGGAGACAGATAAATTCAAAGGAAATCCAAGCCTTTTCTTTTACTTTTTCAATTTAATTTCCAAAAACAATAGGTAAATAACAGAACTCTAACATGGTTATTGTTGACTGTGAGATTTAGAAAGCAAAGAATGAAAAGCAACATATAATTTTAAATTGAGCTATGCACAAGAATACATGCAGCAAACACAGAGCTGAAAATAACTCCCTCCTCCAAGCAAATATACCATACCAAGTCTTGTTTTGGTGTATACAGAGAGTAATGCAGATAAGGAAAAGGAAAGGTGATATACTTAAATAATAGCACAACGCACGAGATAAATCAATGAAATTTGAGAAAAGAACAAATATACTTTACACAAATACTCTCAAAGGTTATTAAATGAAAAATAGAGTTGGGGTTGGTAGAAGGAGAAAGGATAATCTTCAGGAGGAAGAAAAGCTTTTTTATGCTTCAACTTGACTTCTTTTTCCTTCCTTGTTTGTAAACTCTTGACATATTTCAGACAGATATACTATGAACTCTTGTTTTCACAAGGATAAGTATCATGTAGTTTCTCTACTGTTATGACACAATTCACAAGGTTAGTAGTGAGTTTATATAATTCCACTTGTTTATTGCCATCATTTAACAAAAAGACCATGCATTCCTTGAGCACTGTAGACACCCACCTCTGGGCAGTATGCCTAGAGCTAACAGCAACAGCAATTACCACAACAGATCACAGATGAAATAGTAACAGCCAAAGAGTCTAAGTGGTTCATGAGGTTTACATTAATTCATTATTCCTATAATTACTGCAACATAGCTCAATTATTTTTTTATTTTTTAATTAAGTCTTTTTTTGCATCATTCATTATTTCAACATTGTACTTCATCTTCCTTAGGCACAGTCTCTGCCCACAGAGAACTGTTGGCAGAGACTTCAAGAGGTCATCTGTTCCAACCTTCTGTCACAACAAAGTCAACCTAGTGCTTTGGTTATATCTATACTGTTATTGTGACCTTCTATCAGCAAAGAACTCAGGCCACTAAGCTATTTGGTGTTTATGTCCTTACAGCTCAGAGTTACCACCTTCTGGGAGTGCTGACTGCTTCCATGCTGCATAATATTTGTCCTGGTCTCTCCTGAACCTCATTTGACACTACCATGGCACACGTTACTTAAAGTAAATATCAACACTCATGGTAACACGTCTGGAAGTGTGCCAGCAAGCTGTCACAAACTTTCAGGTATTCCTTGTATCAGTAAAGTCCCCAGTTCTACATCACATCTTGGAGTTTTTAACAGGGGCAAGTATTTGGAAAACTTTCACTCTTTATTAATACAAAAGAGAGCACTGACTTCACAACCTGTATATTTTCATGGGAGCAAAGTTTCTGCTTACAATTACTCTCAGGGCTTGTAATCATCAATCTTATCCTAGCACTTGCAATCCTCTTGGAGTACAAGCTCCCCTTCTGCTTTTACAAATGACTCCCACTTCCCACAAGGTTGATACAGGGATATATGAACAACTTATTTCTGCCAATTACCTATACACCTACCTATTTGCTCATCTTGCATTTTTGGATTGTATGATTTTCCTGTGCATTTCAGTGTTACTGCAGTATGTTGCTAAGAGAGCCAAAATGGGTCATTTTCCCTGGCAGTAGTAAAAAGCAAGAAGTGTTCATCAGCACTTTAAAGTGACAGGTTACAGTTGTTGAAGGTCATGTTTTGTAATGCATTTTCACTCCAGATGGTTCAATTTCCACTGTATGCCCATGGGCTACAAAGACATGGAAAAACATAGCTGTAACTCTTTTTAGACTCTTTTTAGGCTAATGAATTAATACTTTGCATAGAGAAAAAAATTTCAAACCTATTTATAACTGTATTTTAATGGAAAGAAATAGCTTTTCAACTAACTTTAAATGATACATTTCAAAACAGATTGGAACTTTCTGGTCTTTTCTTTTGCACTAAAATAACAAACTTATAGTTGTAACTTCTGTCCTGGAGAGAAAGACCTCGCTGTATGGAGACTAATGCTAGATTGGTCAGTATCTGAGTAATTTATGGATAAAGAGGAAACACATTATGTACATCTAACCACAATGTGCATGCCATTTATACTTCTTAACGTGATAACACTTTCATTAAGAGACAGGATGTGTGCACATTAGAAATTGGCTTTTATTTGTCTGGTTAATTTTGCCTTTTTTTTTAGTGTGGTAGTTTCCCATTGATCTAATTCCCTAACAAGATATAATTAAAACATAAAGGCAGACATCTGAATAAAACTTGGAAGCAACTGAACAGCAGAGCAGTCTGAGAGTAGAAAGGAGTCTCAAATAAAAACTGAGCTTAGAGATAATTTGATCAGACAAGCTGGAAGACACAGTGTTTGCACTGTCCAAACAAAAAAAAACCCCAATGTTCAAAGCAACTCTGTACATTTTAAGATATTTTTAAGACTTTATTTTTAGAATTTAGAGTTTAGAACTAATATAGAAGTCTTCAGGTATAGTCTGCATTTTATAAATTTCTTTCTGAAGGAAACCAGGGAAATGTATTGAGAAGTCTATGAAGAGTGGAGTTGTATAATGAAAGTGGGAACTCAAGGCAAAGCAGGACTAGTGGAAGAGCTGTTCCATCTTTTCCAGAACACCAAAAGAACTCAAGATTTACCAAGGAACTTTTCAAATTAATTTGAAACTTTTATCTTTCTGATTTTTCAGTCTACAAATTGGACCTTGACTAAGTTCTATCTAGTGTAAAATTAATAGGCTTGGTGAGTTATAGCTCAGTAATTACCTTTCATCACAGAAAATACTTGTTAAAGACTACATTACTAACTGGAATAAATTCATTAATAGGTTGCCTGTAATGTCATTAATTACTGGGCAACTACAGAAAAGGTGTAATGTCTAAAACATTCAGCCCCACCAAAGTCAAGATTCCATGCCATTTTAACCCTTTTGATGAACTGCTTTAAGCTAATTTTAATATTAAACTTCATCAATATGGGATGATCTGCCCAGCCTCGTGCCAGAGCTCTGAGAGGAAGGAGAAAGGTTAAGGAGCATCAGGAGCCTGAGAAAGAGATAGACTGGTGGGGAAATGCTCTGCCCTCCCTGATTCAGAACAGCCACCAATCATCAGAAAAAAGACGAGACCAAGGAGACCCTGTATATCCTCTCCCTGCCAGGCAGATGGCAGTAGCTTAAGCAAAAGGAGTGAATGGAGGCAAGTCTGTGCTCAAGGAAGCAAATGAATCCCCACCATTGCCTGCCTGACCTTCCTAGGGGCCTCCATACAACAGGTATGAGGCTCTGGCTGTGGAAGACCAATCAATGAATTATGTGGATAATGGTTCTACACTAGATGTGTCAGAAAGGCCTATCCCTCGTGTTATGACCACCTCCACCAGGAAGAAAAGAAGGGTTACAGCTGAAGGTAGCTCCCTTCTGAGGGAAACAGAGGGTGCAGTACACCAGACAGACCCTCCTCTTAAGGGAGTCTGCTGCATCCCTGTGGCTCAAGTTATGGACATCACTAGGAAATTTCCTAGCCTGGTATGGCACACAGACTGTGTTCCATATTGGAAGTGATGACGCAGCAACACATAGTCCAAGAATGATCAAAAGATACTTTAGGGCCTTGGGATGGTTGGTGAGAAAATCTGGGTCATAGGTCATTTTTCTCCTTTCTCATTCCAGTTCTGGGCAGTGACATTGAAAGAAACAGATGGACACATGGCTCTGTGGCTGGTGTCACCACAATTTGGATTTTTTTTGATAATGGGAATGCCTACACGGAATTAGACTCACTGGTGTCAGGTGGGATTCAGCTTTCTCAAAGTGGGAAGGGGTTCTTTGCTCAGGAGCTTGTGAGTCTCACTGACAGAACTTTAAACTAGTTTTGAAGGGAGAAGGGTATAGTATCAGGCTTCCCTATAAGTAGTGAAGCACCTCCTCAGTCCCTCTATACACACAGTGTCTTGTGGAAAGAGAAGTAACAACTCAGCAGAGTAAGAGCATAATTACAGAAAACACTTCTGTATTCTTACTTCAGCTCTCTTCAGCATCTCCCACTTATTAAGTATCTTCATGGCAAAAACCTTATCTGCATTCTTCAGTTTTACTACTGCAACCTGGAAAAGATAAACATAACACAAATAAGGTAAGACATGAAAACTCGTATTTTTTAAGTTTTTATGAAACCTTGCAGTTTGTGTTTGTTTTTTCCTACAGTGCTCTGTACACTTTGCTTTACCATCCACACAATACCACACCATGACCATCAAGACTTATTCTGGTTCCAAGTGTATTTTAAGCTTTTTTTTCTAGGTTACTGTATTTGAACAATGGTATTTCTCACCATCAGACTTCTTGCTTTCACTATTCTTCTTGCTCTTCACTACTGTGAAGCTATCACTAGCTGTATGCTTTATATTATTGGATGTATCCTTCCAGTCCTATAATATAATATAAATTACAGAACTGCCAAGAAAAGACAACAATGTAGTAGTTTCTAAAACAAAGTAAACAGTATGCTTAGGTTTTAGATACAAATTAGACTGTGGCTTTGCCATAAAACAACTTCCCTTCTCATTTCAAACTATGCATTAAGATAAAGCATTAATTCACATTTTCCCCCCTGAAGTTCAATGCGTTCTTCAGTATAACTGTCGCTAGTGGCAGGAAATTGGGAAACACACATTTTCTAGTGAAGTAAAACTTAGGAAATGCAAACTCCCCCCCCCCCATTGATTCTGAAACATTAGATAACATACATCTATGTAATAGTGTATTAACAAAGTTAACCACTACAGCCTTTTTCTGAGAATATTATAGTTTTGTTTACCCGTAATAAAAGCTAACATTGAATGTTTTTATGAAAGAGGGAGTGAAGAAATTTACACAAACATGTTTTCACAGTTCTCTGGATATGGAAAGCTAAGTTTCTTACCCAAAACAGCCATGAATCTGCCACAGACTCAGAGCTTCTGCTAAGAATTAGACCAAACCACTACACTACCATCCCAATTATAATAAGTTCAACAAATAATACATTTTAACAAGCATTACCTATTTATCCAATTCTGCCTCTACCCTTTCAAATAAATCTTAAGGCTTCAGGAGAAAAAAGGGTTTTTTTCCTGTGTATATCTGGTTACAAACCAACACGATGTCACAGAGATTATCATCATCTTCATGCTGCAGGCCAGTGACAAAAAAATACTAAGGTTAAGTCCTACATTCCTCTTTCATAATCAGTAAACAACTTAAGTGTGAAGACAGGGATAACAGAAATGAAAATGCAGAATCAGACAGTTTGAAGAAAGTGTCAGGCAAACCTTTCAGCTACCTTCAAATATGTCATCAGTTGCAGCATGGTAAAATTGCAGGTTGAAGGACTGCAATAATCAGATGTCTAAACTGAAGTATATCTAAAAGTGTACCTCTTGTTTAACCATAGGTGAAGCAGCTGTTGCTTCCCAAAAGTGCAGCAATGCATTATCAGCCCTGCTCTTGATACTGCTGCTTTCTAAGTTTGCAGGGTGGTGAGATTGGAGGGAAAGAAAAAAAAAAAAGACAAGACAATAAGGTACTACATATACTTGTTTAAACTAGTTTATGACCTGAAATTTGTAAATGTTATTTCATGAATAAAAATTGAGGTTCAAGTCAAGACCTAGGATTCCTCCAGTTACTTTCAGATTTGAAACACAAAAATAAGATTGTTACTTCAGACTATAATCTAATTTTCATTCATAAAGAATGTCTACTCTCCTGTGCCTTGTACTCCAAAACTGAGCATCACAATTTTCTTTAGGAGGGGAAGATCAATCTTCTTCCCACATATGCATAATGCACATATGCATAACCCAAAATGTGGATCTGAGGTTCTCCTTTTAATTTACTTGCTAAAACTAGCTTGAAACTCCTATAAACCACATCTGTATCACCACCTAATGAGACACTGCAGGAGAAGAAATCCTTAACACTGAAACTAGTAAACATTCAAATTGTATCATAACTCAGATGATAAGCACCCTCTCTGCCCCATGCAGCCTTTGGTGCGAAGCTACAAAGTAATTCAGCCTTAAAGAACATTTAAGGATTTTGCACTGTAGTGAGGAAAAACAAAACAGTTGGTTCTAGATCTGACTAGGCTGCTTCTGCCCAGCATGAAAAACGTTTTTCTCCACCATTAACCATTAGTATAGTCAGCCAGAGGCATAAGATAATACATGTATTAAACATCCCTGACTTCAGGATTTAATCTCTTGCCTGTAGCATGCTCAGTGAAAGGCTGTGTCTTTCTGCAAAAGTCTTGGTTATTGAAAGACAAATGCTAATTGCATAGCTGCCTAAAGGTGTCTTCTCCTATACAGCATTCACTTGGACACAATCACAGGAGCTACATCACTGCCTTTGGTTAATGACTGGAGCACAGGCCTCAAACAAGATCAAGGGCTTGGTACCTTCTGCGAACAGGTAATAGTATTAAAGAGTGACTAAAGAACAAAAATAGACTAATGTTTAACAGCTGTGTTTACAATCAGTCAGAAGCAGTCTTTCAGTCTGCGAGGGTCATTAATGCGAGGGATGTTATGCTATATCAATAACCACGGCATGCACATACACAACACAAAAAAGATCACAATCATTTTTCTGCAATCATCATCATTTTGGAAGTGTCTCAGAGCCTTATGAAAGTAAATTTTAAACCCTGACCTGTCTGCAATGAGCAGTTTGATACAGTTTCTCATTTAACAAAAAATTCTGAAACATGACTGCAGATCCAGGCAGTGTTTACAAACACTCAGAGAGGTGTACACTGCATACACAAAGGCCCAAACATACAGAGTGCTGTTTTGATCTTCTCCTTTCCTCAATGAAGCTGTAAAGACAGAAGAAATGCTAATCATTCCTGTCTAGTTATCCCGAAGGGTCTTGCTACTGGAATTTTTTTAATTGGGCATCTAAACGTTGGGGGTTGTCAAATTTATATTTTGCTGTGAGCAGCCCAAGAAAAAATTATCGTTATGTGCTGATGCAAACATCTTGGTTTAGCTTTTTTTTTTTTTCCCATTCTTCCGACAGTTTTCCAGATTTCCACAAACAGCAGTAGAGCCCGGTATGCCAACAAGACACCTTCTGCCCCAAATTCAGCTACTTGTCTCTATAGTGTATGTCTGCACATTTGCTTTGCCTAAAAAACACCCTTATGAAGGAAAAAAAGCCTAGAAGAGAAGCTATTAAAATTGAAATTAATAAATACCATTTAAAAAATAGCTCACCACTGGCTTTATTGTTCATCAACAGTAGGCAACCCTTCAGAAACAGGAAGAGAGAATGTTACTGTTCATAACCGGATGCCAAAATTTAGGAGTAAGTAACTACACCTCAGAGTAAAAATGAATCATCTTCAAAATATCAACATTACAATATAATGGCATATTTGCCTGCATAAGAAAGCAGTGAACTTTTCTTTTAAAGCAGTAACAAAATCAATTGAAATTTTGGGTATTAGCTAGAATCTTTAATAAGCTGCACTTTTCCACTGCCCAGAGACATTGCTAAACACTGTTGTCCAATTGCTTCACCTTTCCTAGCAGCATTCTTCAACTCAAAAGTCTAAAATCTTCTTTTTTTAAGTTGTTAAGTTTTTCAAATCATGCTGTCTGAAAACGGCACAATGAAACACTTGATGCCCACATGATTAATTTTACCAGAATAATCATCCTCCTCCAAGCAAAATGTCTGTGTTTTCTAAATACTGCATTCTTACATGAAACTTTAAATAAGTAAATATATGCATGCAGAGAAAAGGGGCACATGATTAATTTAACAAAAAGGAAGCATCAGACTGGCAGCAACCAGTTTAAGGGGAAAAAAAAAGCTAGGAATAATGAACTCTTACAGTTACAAGTAATAACCAGTTTAAACTACTTTTTCTCTACATCTAATTTGTAATAAAACAAAAGGGGGAAATATTTCTTGTCTATGCAAATTGAAGACATTGAGTAGCATAAAATCAAAATAAGGACAACCCTGAGACCGTGCCAAAGAAAACTAACTTTGTAGTCTACAGAATTTCAGAATTACATTCATTCAGGAGACAAAAATTACTCCTCCCAGTAACCCAGAGCAACCTTGGTCTCATTTATAATTTGCTGCGAAGAAAACACATTCTTCCAGATTTCTTAATCTGTCTTAGTTTACCACTGTAGTCTACTGAACCATACAAGTATTTTGCAATTTAATATTAATGCAGATTATTGTGGCTTAAGTAGCAGTAAAATTTGATGGTCCTTTTTTCAACCTTGATCAGATATTTAAAGGTTATTTTAGAGAAGTAATTTCATATAGCACTTGTTTTCTTCAACAAATTCAACATTCAGCAAATCCTACCAACAGGACTTCAGGTTTTTTGATCATGGTTTGGTTTACAGGACACCAGGCCTGCAGACATTGGATGAAAAGACCCTGTCCCACAGGGGAAAAAAGGTACTATGGCAGGAATTAGTAGGACTCACTGATAGGGCTTTAAAGTGGGTTGCAAGGGGGTGGGGGATAAAGCCAGGATTACTACAGACAAGCCTAGGGGTGGGGTGGTGGTCAGGTAAGCTAGTCAGGCAACCTTACTGGAGGCCCAGATTAAATACAAATGCATGCAGCATGGGGAATAAACAGGAGGAATTAGAGATGAGAGTGAGCCTGCAGGGATATGATATCATTGGCATCACTGACACCTGTTGGGATGGCTCCCGTGACTGGAGCATCAGAACAGAGGGTTAAACACTCTTTAGGAAGGACAGACAAGGGAGACAGGGTGGGGGTGTTGTCCTCTATGTCCAAGACCAGCTGGAGTGCATGGAGCTCTCCCTGGGGATGGATGAGGAGCCAACAGAAAGTTTATGGGTTAAGATTGAGGGGAAGAAAGGCCAAGATGACATCACGGTGGGGCTTTACTACAGGCCGCCTGAGCAGGAGGATAATGTAGATGAGGCACTATACAGACAGATAGGAGCAGCTTCACATTCACAAGCCATGGTCTGTTGGAAGAAAAACTCTGCTAAACACAAGCAATCCAGGAGGTTCCTAGAGTGCGTGGATGATAACTTCCTTTTCCAAGTAATTGAGGAACCAACAAAGACAGGTGCTATGCTGGATCTTGTCCTCACCAACAAGGAAGGGCTGGTGAGGGATGTTAAGCTCAAGGGCAGCTTAGATTGTAGTGACCACGAAATTGTGGAGTTCAAGATCCTTAGGGCAGCAAGGAGGGCTCACAGCAAGCTTACTACCCTTGACTTCAGGAGGGCAGACTTCAGCCTCTTCAGGGACCTGCTCAAGAGAGTGTCTTGGGATAACATCCTGGAGGATAGAGGGGCCCATGGAAGCTGGCTGATATTTAACGATCACCTTCTCCAGGACCAAGAGCATTGCATCCCATCTAAGAGGAAGTCAAGTAGAAACTCCCAAGAGGGCAATGTGGATGAGTAAGCAGCTCCTAGAAAAGCTCAAACTGAAGAAGGAAGCACACAGGGGTGGAAGCTAGGGCAGGTATCTGGGAGGATATCAGAGAGGTTGTCTGAGCAGCAAGGGATCAGGTTAGGAGAGCCAAATCCCTGCTACAATTACATCTCGCCAGGGATGTTAAGAATGGTAAGAAAATCTTCTTCAGGTATGCTGGGGAGAAAAGGACATCTAACAAGAGTGCAGGCCCTCTCCTGAAGGAAATGGGCAAGGTAGTAACACAGGATAATGAGAAGGCTGAGGTTCTAAATGACTTATTTGCTTCAGTCTTCTCTGTTAAGTGCTCCAGCCTCATCACAAATGCCACAGAAGGTGAAAGCAGGGACTGGGAGAATGAACTATCCCCCACAGCAGGTGTAGAGCAGGTTCGTGACCATCTAAAGAACTTGAAGTTGCATAAATCTATTGAACATGATGGGATTCACCCACATGTCCTGAGGGAGTCAGCTGGCAGATGAAATTGCTAAGCCTCGGTCCATAATATTTGAGAGGTTATGGCATAAAAAGGAACATAGCCCCTATTTTTTAAAAGGGGGAAAAGCAAGACCCAGGGAACTACAGACTGGTCAGTCTCACCTCTGTGCCTAGCAAGGTAATGGAGCAGATCCTCCTAGAAAGTCTGCTAAGTCACATGGAAAATAAAGAGGTGATCGGTGACAGCCAACATGGCTTCACTAAGGGCAAGTCGTGCCTGACCAGTCTGGTGGCGTTCCACAAAAAGGCTACAGAGATGGTGGATGGTGGCAGTGCTGTTTAACATCTTTGTTGGAAACATGGACAGTGGAACTGAGTGTATCCTCAGCAAATTTGCTGATGATACTAAGCTGTGTGGTGTGGTTGACACCCAAGAGGGAAGGGACACCATCCAGAGGGACCCTGGCAGGCTGGAGGGGTGGGCTGGTGTCAACCTCATGAAGTTCAACAAGGAGAAGTGTAGGGTCCTGCACCTGATTCAGTGCAACCCCAGGCACAAATACAGGCTGGGGGGAGAATGGCTAGAGAGCAGTCCTAAGGAGAAGGACTTGGGGGTGGTAGTGGATGAGAAGCTTCACATGAGCCATCAGTGTGTGCTCACAACCCAGACAGCAACTGCATCCTGGGCTGCATCAAAAGAAGTGTGGCCAGCAGGGCTAGGGAGGTGATTCTGCCCCTCTACTCTGCTCTGGTCAGACCCCACCTGGAATACTGTGTACAGTTCTGGTGCCATCAGCACAAGAAAGATAGAGACCTGTTGGAGAGGGTCCAGAGAAGGGCCACCAAGATGATCAAAGGCCTGGAGCACCACTGCTATGATGACAGGTTGAGAGATTTGGGGCTGCTCAGCCTAGAGAAGAGAAGGCTCTGGGGAGACTTTATAGCGTCCTTTCCATACTTGAAAGGGGCCTGCAGGAAAGCTGGGGAAGGAGGGGCTTTTCATCAGAGAAGACAGTGATAGAACTAGGGGTAATGGTTTGGAACTGGGAGAGGGGAGATTTAGGTTAGATATTAGGAAGAGATTCTTCACTATAAGGGTGGTGAGGAACTTGAATGGGTTGTCCAGGGAGGCTGTTGATGCCCTGTCCCTGGAGATTTTTAAGGCCAGGGTAGACAAGGTTTTGTGCAACGTGATCTAGTGGTAGGGGTCCCTGATCATGGCAGGAGTGTTTCAACTTGATCTTTAGGGTCCCTTCCAACCTTAATGATTCTATGATTCTATTAAATGTCTGTGTAGGATTTCACACTTGTCTTCTTTAAGCTAATAAGAAAATTTAACCTATATCCTTGCAAATATCTAGTAATTCCTACTCTAAAAACATATAAAACAAAACACCTTCACTAGAATAATTCTGTTTTCCCCTTACTGGAAGATTCTGACAATGAGTTAGAGTCATGCTGTGTTTCTCAGATAAGGTATCAGAAAGAAACGCTGTTCCTAACACAGGAGAACTAACTGATTGCACAGACAGTTCCCAAAAGAGCATGGGAAAGTTATGCTCTCACTCTTCATAGGATGACTCACAAGAAAGAAGCTTCCAGAGAAAGAACTACAGAGGTTTTTCTATGGTTTAGCTGCTGATTTGGCAGACAAAAATGTCTTCTCTTAAACTTAAGTCAGGTTTTACATGTGATTCTTCTGACAAGAAAGCACATATGTCAGTGATTTTTCTTACACATTATGGACCTGAACTCAGCTGCAACTACTACGGTAGCATCATGGTTTGGGAGCAACATGACAACAAAGGAACAGCTCCATGGCTGCTCACTCAACTTCCTACCTCACACACACTCTGGTATGAGGAGGACAAAGCTCATGGGACAAGGAGGGTTCTTCACCAACTAAGGTCCCCATTTCTCTCCCTCTGTCCCCCCAGCAGCACAGGGGGCCAAGGGATGGGGTTTAGAGTCACAGGCTGCTATTTCCAGTAAGGATTCCTTACAGTCCTTCCCTGCTTCCCCATGGGAGAGAGTCCTCCACGATCTCTCCTTCATGAGTCCTTCCCACAAGGTCAGGACCAAGCTGCTCCAGTATGGGATTCCCACAGAGTCACAGACTGCTTTGGAACAGTCAACTCCCCTGGCACTGGGGTCTTCCAAAGCTGCATAATCAGAGTCCACTGGCAGCAAATCCACTGGCCACAAAATCCAATTCCACTGGCCAAGTTCACCCCTCCTGGTGCCTTCAGGGAGATGTTTCACCACATTCCTCCATGGATGAAGAGGTACAGCTGCCATCTCGCCATGGCTTGCAGGGAAACTTCCTCTTCGGCACCATCTTCCCCTTCTTCCTCACCAACCTAGAGCACTGCTTTGCTTCTCCATCACAGCTCTTCTCCTTTAAGCACTCCTCATGTCTTATATTAGTTCTTTTGCATGTTAATCGCAGAGGTGCATCTATTGTTCCTCTAATGGCTCCTTGTCTGGGTTTGGAGCAGGGGGAGCTTCTCAGCTTCTTACAGAGCCACTCCTCGGACCCTTCCTCCATTACCAAAAAACCCACCAAACTAAACCAGAACAGATAGCACTGATAAAAGCTGATTTTTTAAACAGAAGCATTTACATCAAAAAGGAGAATGCCACATTCTCCTTGTGGCAGAGGTTCAGACTAAAGATAAATTATCCATGAGTAACTTCAGTATTCAGTCTTTTATAAAGCATTACTCCAGATGCAGCAAAACCAACTAGAACTGATAAAATATCTAAATAAATACTGCTCCTACTGCTATTTTTACACTTGCCCAATGATATTTGCATGTAGGCATCAGTGTATGTAGTGACATACACTACAGGAAAAATTCCTGTTCCTTACATATTATGTACAGAAATCTATTCTTACAGACCACAGACTAGTGAAGACTAATCTTCACACAATGCAAACATGTAAGTGAACCAGATACCAACTCTTCTCTGTCACATACCTCCAGAGATGCTCTCATACCAAAGAGAACTGAGAAAGCCCCCAAAACATTTCCAGTTCCAAAACCAATGAAGATACTGCTCAGAAAAATATTTTTCTTATTCTTTGGGTTTTAGTTCACTAGTATTTTCAGGCAATATGGAGTACTTCTGCAGAAGTTTTACATACTCTCCCCATCTGTAGTATATTTGGCTATCAAAAATTCAAGGCACTGATACAAAGTAGGTTATTCTTTCTACCTACACAGTGTCCTACATGAAGAACAAAGCACATGCACTTGATATAATTATCAAGTAGGGGCAGAAAGCTAACATTTATTCAAGTTCCCTCAACCTATATAATCTGCCATGCCCAGTGTAAAAACCTAGTGATCCTTAGCCTTTCTTGATGACTTCAAATAAGACATGGCTTAACCAAGAGCAGCAAGAAATTGTACAGTTCAATAGCAGCAGGTGACAACTGACAAAGAAACTAAGAGTTGCTAAGCTCTTTAAAAGAAATACAGGAAAAATATTCAAATATTCATTAAAAATAGGAAGTGACAGGATTAGAGGGATTTCTTTATGTTTTTTGAATGTCAGCAACTATATTTGGCTATTTAAGTTGCTGAAAACTACTTTCAGTCTATTTAGTTATTAAGGTGATGAGAGATTACTAGACTTACACCATCAGTAAGTCACTGGCCTTCACTTGCTAACTGGAAAGAATTACAATCATTGGACAGTTGAAACAACGTCTTTTAATCCATGTGAATTTACTTTTGCTCAAAATTTAAGACTTTAGGAGAGCTGTTAAAGAATGTATAAATCAAAACGTACTTACATCCAACATTAGGCAGGCCTACAATTATCCGTTATACACATATCAATATATTGGTATTAGCTGTCTCTCCGCAGTGTTGCAGATTTGCAAAAGCATGATTCAAACTTTTCCTTCCCCCTCCTTCACATACATACCTCCCCAAAGGCTCCTCGACCAATCACTTTCAGGATTTCAAAATCTTCTTTATGTAGTCGCATCTGTTTCACTTTAGATGTAAAAGGTTTGGCTGAAACAAAGGAATATATCAATCATTAAAAAGAAAAAAACCCACCATAACAAAACCAATTCCAAACGAAAAAACAAACAAAACACAACACCAAAAACAAATAAAATAGATGTAATCAGAGCCCTTAAAACAACATACAGTTTTGCTTATATACCTATATTCTCTAATGTAATATAATGAAGTGTAAAGCTAGAAATAACGACCAGTAAGATCTAAGCCAAACTGCTGTGAGAAAGTTTATGAAGTAAGCTTGCTTTTGCTTTTTAAAAAATCTAAACACAGAAAGAAAAAAGTTAAAAAAAGATAAGTCAAGTTGACTATATATTTTTACAGTCTTTTGAGTCCTTAGACACCCACTGCATCTGCGACATATATTGTTAACTCTGGTTGCAAAAATGAAGTATAATGTAAAGATTTCACTTTGGACAATATTAATTTATCTGTCAAACAGCAAAACAATATTGTCTTCAATGAAAAGTTAAAATGCTGATGAATGATACCTGGAAGAGTAATAATGGCCTAGATGATGTATCACGTGATATTTTTGGAGAGCACTGCTTCAACATAGGGGACACTTAATAGTCAATTCTTGGCTACTGCAAGGGAGAACAGTTGTACTCAAGACAAACACATTCAGTGGAAAAACCCTACATAGTAAAGCTTTACTTTCATCTTCTTTTTCACCTCTTTCCAATCTCTTTGAAAGCAGTATTAAGTATTTTATTCCAGCCAGGTAACTCCAGTGAATGAAACAGGACGAGTAGGACTGTTCCTGTCTTTCAGGCCCATTTAGCACTACAACTAACTAGTCCCAGTTCACTAATACATGCTCTCTGCATGCATGCAAAACATCCAAGGTACTGGTAACTCTACCTCAAAAACCATATTACACAACCCTTGGTAAAAAAAAGCACAACAAAAACCCCACAACAACAACTCAACAGAACTTTAAATAAGTAAGCAGGAAAATGAGCACACATGGCCAAATAAAACCTTTTCTGCTCATGCTTTCACGGTATAGAGACCCATCTATGTCCATGACAGAATTAGTTACAGCTTTATTTGCAGTGAGGAGTTTTAATATTGCAGAACAATTTGTTCGCAATAATGTTTCTAACCTGAAATGGGAATTGGTTTTCAAAAGCTCATGAGTTTACACAACAACCAAATGGTATCTAGACACAAGTAAGAAATGCAGTTGGGTTCTCGTAGAATTCAGTATTTATCTTCCTAATGTTACCAACTAACCCTCCTAAAAAAATCCAACAAACCTTAATACTTTCACAGATAACCCAACATTCAATTTAGTTTTCTGATATTAAGACACACCCCTCAAGGCACTACAAAATCCTTGTCCAAAAGCCTACTGCCAACTATTTGGCAAAGCAATTCTATTAACTGATTCAAGACAAAAGCTACCTGTATTTTTAATACTTAATAACCCCACAAAACTTCTCTATCCCAGTCCTTAAATTAGCATTGTAAATAACATCTGAAAACCAACAATGCACAAATGGAGAGGCTCATGTTCCTCCTATTAAACAGTACGGCACATCTCCACTAATGTTAGTGGAATAATCACAGAATCATAGAATGATTTGGGTTGGAAAGGACCTTAAAGATCATCTAGATAAAACCCCCCTGAATGGGCAGGGTCACCCCCCACTAGACCAGGTTGCATATTTATATGCAAACTGAGTAAACATGCTTCTTCAATTGCTTTGTACACAGAGCCATTGCAGTCTTCTGAGCTCTGCAGTCAAAGTCGGTTTTGTTGTCCTAGAATACAATGATGAACAGCATGCAATCCTTTAAAGATCTCTGAGGTTCCAAAGTTTGAACTTAGTAAATTTTTCTAAAACTCTTCAGAGGCCAAGAATAAGTTCCCTACCATTAATTATAGCTACAGGACCATCAGCTTATGATTAAAAAACATTAGAGCTTATGTCTGAAGAGTAAAGACGCTGTCATACAACACTGAGATTTTCACTTAAGTGATATTTTTACTTTAAATTTTTAATTTTATTTAAAGTATGTAATTACACAAAAAAATACAGGTTTCCTATTACATTTAAAATAATTTTAAAATGTAATTTAAACAGAACTACTCAAGTTCACAGAGATTCCCCAGACTTTCAATTAATTTTTTTATACCTTAAAAAAAAGGTCTTTCAATTGGAAAAATAAGTAACAAAAAAGGGTACTGCCTTACTGGTACAGTCTCGGATGTACCATACTAAGTGATTTAATACAATTATTAATACTACTTAGAAATACTACTGAAAAAAATAAAACAAGCCATTAAAGCCTTTAAACTTGAAAAACAACTGATTTAAAGCAAACGTGGAGTTCTCAACTTCAACAGTTTTTGACCATTATAGGCCTGGCTAGAGTACAAGGCAAAATACCTTCTTAGCAAGCAACAGCATAGCTGTTTAAACCACAGAGCTTTTCGTCACTTTATATTGTAGGCAAAGGCCTGACATCCTTTAATTATTAAATGTTGGAATCTTCCAGGGTTTCCACAGGGACAGTGGAAAAATAACATCACTAGAGCTACCTCAGTAAAATACAGCTGACAGAAATAGGTTTGGATTAGGTATAGTGATTTGTTTTATCAGTGTTAGTGGAACAGTTCGTAAACCCTTCTCTTTAATTTTTTTATCACCTCTGGCAACAGACATGTCAACTTATAGCCAAGCAGTTTTATGAAGATATAGTCCAAGAAAAGGAAAAAAAAGAAAACCAACAGCAAAAAAAACACCAAAAATAAACCCAAAACCCCCATGCCTTAGAAATGTGTTCCAAGTAGCTCACTCCAAAAAAGGTCAATTTGCTTTATCATCAGTGTTGTTTGTCTGCTCTGCAAACATCTGCTGTTCTTGAGGCAACAGCAATCTGCAGTACAGGCAACTTGGCCTGTCCAAGGGTCTTGGCTTCAGACAGCACTTTCATACATTCTACCTTCCAGACTATGAGGTCAACAGGCAGATTTTTGCAACTAGTTTGGCAATGCCATACAAGCTGTTGCAAAGAGAGCAAACTGTAAGGTCAGGGAACAGTATTCAAAATGCAATGTGCTCAAAGAGGCAATGCAGCTCTTTAAAAACATACAGGTACACAGATGTCCTCTGTTCACATCCCCATCCCCCTAAACAGAATTGTCAAAAATAACCAGAAATTAACACTTTGTTTTTCAGACGGAACTGCAGTTTTCTTGATCATTGATACCAGAGTGACACACTGTCTTTGCAGCTTTTTGAGAGCAAAAGGCTGTATAGACATTTCCTTTGATACTTCATTCAACGTACAGAAAGACCCAGAGGGCTAGCTGATTTTTTCCAGACATCCCTCTTCAAGGTTGCTGGCCATATGTGATACAGAGTGGGAACCAGCAGTTTGCTGGTCAAGCTGACAAGTCACACACAGAGTCTATGAAAGAGGCTACTCTGAAAAATATTCTATATTGCTATCAATTGCCGTGGAGAAGATGGGTAGAGAAGACTTTACCAACAAAAGCTGGTCTACAAAAACACTGACCGCCCCACCTGGCCAATACTTCCAATCTCACACTGCCTGGGAAGAATACACCACCACCCTCTTGGCAAGATTCCATGCACTTAGTCATCAATTACACATGGCAAAAAAAAATAAAAATCTCTCAATTCACCCTCAGGGGTAACCAAGGTACTGAAGTAGTAAGCTAAGCTGTTATTTCAAACAATGTGACTCTGTAATGACATTCCTTTAAGTTATTTAAGTCCCTAAGGGTCTCTCCCCACATTATGCTTGAGCCATCATTCCATTCATGTTTACAATGCATGAAAAAAAATGAAAGTCAGCAAAAGCAGAGTTCACAAGTGTTTGAAATTTCTGTTTTTTCCAGTTGAAATTTGATTATGACTTCACCAGAAGTAACATGTTAAGCACATAGAAAACCAGTCAGCAGGACCCTAGCTGCCAAGCCAGCCAGCCAGAGCATACACTCTACCCCCTGGCCCTGCAAAGGGAGAATTATATTACAACTGTCCAGCAAAAGGGAGGTAAAGCAGTGGGTCCTTGAGTAGTTATACGGTGCTTCAACAGTCTGTTTATCATGTTTGGGGTGCGGGGGGGGGAGATGGGGGAGCAGTTACTAGCATTGCTTAATGTTTAATATCAAGGGGTTTAATTTTTTAACTCTTGGAGATAGAAGTCCACCTCCTGAAGAGATGACACAGAAGAACAGCTACATTTTTGATAATACAATACCAATTTAGTACTCTGACCATACATGCGATACCACACAATCTAAAAATAATAAAACAGCAGTGTTTGATACTTTATTATTTAGTTAGCCTTATACTCTTGCCTTTCTCTCTCTCCCTCCAGCTCCCAGTTTCTGTCTGCAGAGCTTGGGCTGGCCCTAAAATATTTTTCAAGGCTAACGGCCTGGCCGGGGGGGAGGAGCTAGTGGTGAGCTCCTCCTTCCTGACCTGCTAGTGCCCCTTTTTCTGCCCAGCAAAGAACGTACTGGAACAAACTGGAACTTACCAGAACAAACTGGACCACAGGAGGTTCAAGCTAAACATAAATAAAAACTTCCTTACTGTGCAGGTAACAGAGCACTGGAACAAGCTGCCCAGAGAGGCCGTGGAGTCTCCTTCTCTGAAGACACTAAAACCCATCTGGACATTTTCCTGTGTAAGCTCCTGTAGGTGATCCTGCTCAACCAATGTGATTAGACTAGATGTTCTGCAGAGATCCCTTCCAATCCCCACAACTCTGTGTCTCGCTCCAGGCTAACCAGAGCTGCTGTAGGCATGGGTTTAAATTATATGCAAGTGAGATGAAGACTGTTTAAAGGAAGTGCTGCAGACTTGGGGCAGCAATTGAAAACTGTATCTCCATTACTTATTCAAATAGAAAACAGGAGAGTGTTTTGATGCCTCACTGATGCCATACCTGCTTGTTGGATAAACAAACTGACTAACTCTGTTCAGATGTTTCAGCAAGATATC